AGGGGGTTGTGTAGTCATTACTGTTCCAATCTCAGCTAAAAGATCCCGGCCCCACAGATTAACCGGCAAGTCAGCGAGAACATAAGGCTGGAAAAACCCTGTATATCCTTCATTATCCTCCCACTTCAGTATTTTAGCACTCTTGTTTGGGGTCACTTGTCCTATGCCCTGTAGTCAAGCATTACCGTCCTCCAAGGGCCACGTCTTAGGCCAGGCATTACTGTTCCAATCTCAGCTAAAAGATCCCGGCCCCACAGATTAACCGGCAAGTCAGCGAGAACATAAGGCTGGAAAAACCCTGTATATCCTTCATTATCCTCCCACTTCAGTATTTTAGCACTCTTGTTTGGGGTCACTTGTCCTATGCCCTGTAGTCAAGCATTACCGTCCTCCAAGGGCCACGTCTTAGGCCAGGACTTTAAAGACAAGACTGATATATCTGCTCCTGTATCTAAAATACCTTCAAATAATTTTCTTTCTATTTTGATTTTTAAGATAGGCCGACCCAGAATGCAGCAGGTCCCGAGGAACCAAATCCCCAGTCACCGCGGACTTGTCTGCCGACTGCATTGTTGGACTTTAGATAGGGGATCAAGATTAATTGGGCAATGCGCTCCCCCTGTGGAATTACCACAACTCCTTCTCTGACAGATGTCATAATTTTAATTTCCCCTACATAATTAGAATCAATTATTCCAGGATGTATTTGTATGCCTTTGATAATTGTTCTGCTCCTTCCCAAAATTAAACCCACCAATCCCGGTGGCAAGGGACCATACACATTTGTGGGAAGAGCCTGAACTCCCATTTGGGGAGTTAAGATTGCTCAGGCGGAGGGACAGAGGTCCAATCCTGTGCTTCCTGCTGTCGCTCGGGCGAGGTCTGCAACATGAAAGGATTGCTCTGCAGAAGGAATTGTATACAGCCACTGCCCGGGAAAGTTCTGCGGTAGCCTGGTGCCATTGCCCCATACACTGTGGTTCTGGGGCCCTGGAGCGGGGCCCTTCGCCCATTTCCCTGTTGTTGACTAGATAGGGGTGGCAGGGATATTCCATTTATATCAGTCTTGGAGCGACAATTGTTAGCCCAATGTGCCCCCTTTTGGCATCTTGGACATATCCCAGGTACTCTTCCCTCTCTCTTGTGCTGGGGACAGTCTCTGCGGAAGTGGCCTGGGCGTCCACAGTTAAAGCAATTACGGTCACCATTATTTAAAATTCTAGGACCCTTTGAGTTTTGTGGACGCAGGGCAGCTGCTAGGACCTGGCCTTGCACGAAGTTGCCATCTATATCCCTGCATAATCTGATGTAGTCATTTAAGGTTTTTGACCTATGTGACCTCAGGACTTCCTTACAATACTTATTAGCATTTTCATATGCAAGTTGCTTGACTATGGGCATGGCTGTAGTTACCTCTCCAAACATCCATCCCGCCAATTGCAGGAGCCTGTCCACAAATTCATGGAATGGTTCTGATGGCCCCTGTAGTACCTTTGATAATTGATCTCCAGCGGCTTTATTAGGCAAAGCCTTCCATGCCTTAACAGCGCAGGCAGCTATCTGGGCATATACTGCTGGATCATATTGTATTTGCTGTTGTAGTGGGGCATAGGCCCCTGCTCCAGTTAACATGTCTAGATCTCGCTGAGCCAGCCCTGCCTGAGCATTTAATCGAGCCATTTGTAGACATTGTTCTTGGTACTCTCCCC